TTGAAAGCCCATGGGGACAGATGGTTGTCCATCAGTAACATCAGGCTGTGCAATTTCAGATAGTACCCTACTTAGGGTTTTCAAGAAGTTGTGCAAACTGCAAAATCAGCTTATCGGTTATAAAACAATGCACTTAATTCTATGTATAGCATACTTAATTCCTTTCTTTTTCAGGTAACTCACAACACCACTTTTTATGTGCTCTCATACTCCAAAGATTCTGCACCCCTATAGTGTGGATTTCCACACAATGCCTTTGCTCCCTGAGCAGTTGCTGCCCATTCAGCCTTTCCCCAGGGCTTGGCACTGTTATCTGATCACTGGTGACAACTGGCTGTGATCCATGTATGAACATTGCTCTGCCTGCAGGAAATCCCTGCTGCTCTTCCATATGTCCTCCTGCTAGTGAGTCCCAGTTTCTGCTAGCTCAGGACCTATATCTGCTTTCCAGCAGATAGGCAGACTATAGCTCCCCAGCTCTCTCTCTCCACCTACTTCAAGAGGTAAGAAATACTGGGTTTTGGGACATCTCTGACCCCACCAGCAGGAATGGCTTCAGTTCAGTTCAAAGGAAACCTTGGAGTTGCTCGAAGTTCTTATTACGCTCCAGTTTCTTTCCTCAGTGCCACTTAAAATGCATTCACCTTCATCTGGAAGAAAACCCCCAAAGTAACTCCGAGTTGTCAGACACCTCTGAAGCTACAGCACCTAAATCCTCATATATATATAATCTACTTTTTCTCTGACTTCCAGCATAACAGATCCAAAGTCAGAGAGAGGTTGGTTTCCTAATAATGCTCTAATATTTGCATTTATGTCACTCAACTGATAAAAATCCCATTATATAACCAATATTTTTTACATAACATGGCAGATTTGATACTCAAGTGACAGGCTTATGATGATACATCTTGGAATTTCAATTTATTAAACTATTTTTGGAATATCAGAGTTTCAGCCTGGGATCAGACATACAGACATATTTAATGGAAATTCTGAATGTTCACACGGAAGTATTAAACTTAATAGACTTGGGGAGGACAATTCAGCCAAACCAGTTCATATGACTAAGACAGTATTTACAGCGCAGTATTTACTGCTTATCATACATGAAATTTTATTTATCTGTTGGGTATCAGCCTTGCTTGGGTGCCCTTTAGACAGTTGTTTAGTGGGATCCCTTGCATACACAGGATGTGTACAGAAGGCCAGCAGTGAGTATGTCTTCTAAAGAAGCCTAATCATACAAAGCCCTGACAGGTCTGGTGTCTAAAATGGCACTATAAAACTGAGATGAGCTGGACAACATATACCACCCCTTTCCTGTCTAAATAGAATGCAAACTTCAGCAATGCCAAATTATCAGCCGCAATCTCAGGTTCCAATGTAGTGATACCACACAGACTGACCCCAGTGCTCTCTTTTATCTGTTTTCTTCTCCTTAATACATAATTTACTGCACATGATGTCAACTCATTTAAGGAGCATCTCTTGATGGAGTTAGTGAGTTAGCCTGCAGCTGAAAAGAATGCCAGCGGCTAAAAATATTATTGCTGGTTGTCACTGAATGTCTAAGCTAGTGAAGGCTGAAAGGCAAATATGGGTTTTCTGTGTTTTCAGACCAAAGAATTTCTGCATAACATATAATTTTAGTTTGCCAGTTCCTTTGTAAAATGCATGTACTGTATAGGAAATTGGGCATTTACAGCAAAATAAATGTCACTGAACCAGAATAATAAAATTAAGGAGGGGGGCTAGGGGGTCACAGGGCGACTCAGCTGTCGCACCATTTCTAGCGCGCCTCCGCAGCACGAGCTGAACCACACCATTGTCTCTCCCCTCAAAGACTGGTGACTTGTTTGCTAACAAAGGCCTCGGGGATAGGAAAGAACAAATTGCAGTATGAAAAGTTTTCAATTTTGTACATGTGGCATGACTTCTGTTCCAGTCATGTGGGCAGCACAGAGGACTTGCTGGAAGCAAGTGGTGGGGGAACTCTGCATGCCGCTCAGCTCCTCTGTGCCAGCTTCACTGTCATGGGAAGAGACGCTGTGGGAGTGATGGCTCCTCTCCCTAAGCTACCATCATGCCCACCCATGGCTAGCAGGGAGGGAGTATCAAGTGGCAGGTCCTTGGCTCGCTGCTCTGCCTGCTGGTGGACAACTATGATGAGAAGAGGAGAAGCACGGGCATGTCTCCTTGGATGACATCACAAGCGAAAAGGAGATTGCTCCGTGATGAGGAACTGTGACAAATTCATGACTGATCTCTAACTAAATACACTTAACACTGCACATAGATACAGTCACAGGTCAAAGAGAGGCCTGTTTCCTTGCAGGCACGGCATTCTTGGTAATCTGCCAGGCTGATTATGTTTGCACAATTGCAAAAACGTGGTGGAGATGACACACGGTGTAAGAATCTTGCGGCTATTGGGTTTTTCCTAGTTTTCTCCCACGGAGCTCTTCCCACGATGTGCTCAGAACACGTCAAAACTCAGCTCTTAGCAAGACATAGGGCACAGAGGGGAAATGGTGGTGGAGGCCAGTCAGCCAAAGGCCTTTGCCATACCACAGTGCTGCCAGTCCATGCTTCCCACTGCCATGGCACTGGGAGCTGCCATTAAAAGGCTTCTGTGCTGCTGAAACTGTGGGAGGAAATAAGCTCCAAGCAGAAAACATGCTGAACATGAAGCCGAGCACAATGCCTGCAGAGCATTGCTTGCCAACCTGATCTTTTAAAACTCACTTTCCTAAGAAACCCTCCCTCTGACAGGAAGGCTCCTGATGTCAGTAAGGTAAGCAGGGCCAGGAAGATCCACAAAAGGAGACCAGGAGCTTATCCCAGGAGGGAGTCAGACCACAC